AGTTGATCTCAGCACAAAAAATATGCAACAGTATAATTTCTCCCCAATACAACCAAGGCACGTGGTTGGTTCACACAGTGCCAGGTGGTTGCAAACAACTTATCATTGACCCAGATCATCTGTACAACAGTAAGTATCATGACTGACCTGCCTCCTCCAGAAATGTGAAGTTTTCAGTTTAAACACAGAATCTTGTTTTCTAGAAGAATTCTTAGAATGATGGAATGATTATCAACATAAATAACACTGGAATGCCTCTGCTCCAAAAGAAATGAGTTATTCTAAGATGTTGCATGAGTCCCATCTTATTAAACTGTATACGTGAGGAATAATTCTCTGATGCCACAGATTGTTCTGCTTTCTTGTTTTTTGACAAAGATGACCATTATACTCCCAAGAATAAGTCTCAAAGACATTTTTAAGGAAAGTGATTGACAAAGAGAGAGCAATCTCAGAAAAAAAAAAACAGCCTATAGAGAAAAATAATTTTCTTTAGATGCAAAGGAGGCAGAGAAGGGTCACTAATGGAATACACAGCTTTTCATCTCTATATAAATACTTCAGATATAGCTGAAATTGTCGGTGATCAGAAGTGATTAGTCTACAAATGCTGGTAGGCTAAAAAACATGCAAGACGCAGAGATTATTAACAGCAGCATCAGAGACAGAAAATGGGTAAAATAGGGTTAAATTAATATTAGCTTTCAAAGTAGCAAGAAAACACATCTCAAGACAGAATACAGTTACCTATCTTCAGGTGGACTAATGACCTAACAGCTGTTTTCTGTAAGATGATTTCAGGTGTGTAATTGGTCTACTGCTGCAATCAGGACAAATGAAAATTTTCCTTAGACTAACTTTTAAGATTGCTGCTGGTCTTTCAAACATTCATCAAAACTCCCCTATCACCTGGTTCATAAAAAATTAATCATGTATGTTTTCTAGGTTCAGAATGGCCAGCAAATTATAAAATTCTTTTTAATTAAAATGTTATTGTTAAGTTCAATATTTTAAAATAATTACTAAATTTGCCATTTTAAGGCATCTCAAGCCTACATCTAAATAACTGTAAAGCTAGCCTGTGCATCCTGTACCACCATCAGCACCATTGTTTTGCTGTTTACTGTCTTCTCACAAGTTTCACATAGCCTCTATAATCCTATCTAGTAACTCATACATTGGCTTCTGACACTGCCCAGGCTTTCAGGACACTGCTGCAGAACAAATCACCATCATGGTCAATATCTGGGGAGCTGTGACATTGCTAGATGTGAACCTGGCTCAGTGACTACATTAGCCCCATCAATACACATCCAGTGGCCATGTGAGCAGCTGTGTGATGTAGCAGCAGTCGCTTCAGAAGAATCATTGACTGACTTACTGCACAGACACAGAACTGACAATTAAATGAACTAACAGCTTCAATTTACTTGCTGTGATCAATTCAAGCCACAATGCAGTCATGTGGGGAAAAGTTAGGAGCAGCATGACCAAGCCTGAACCACAGCTCCAATTTTGTGACACTGTCTCCCAACAGAGAGGTTTTCTGTCAAGGGCAAATAAGGCATCTTAAAAATCATTTTCTGTGGTTAATCTTAAAGGTGCTCTTTCAGACACACAGAAAAAGATTTTGGCCAAGAAAAGTATAGAACAATTAAGTGAAGCAGCTTCTGAGTGGGCTGCAGATCTTGTTTGCCCTGAGCAGAGAAATGTCCTGCATTTCAAATGCACTCAACTGAGTACTTGTATATAACCCATACCTGGGTCTAATTCTTTGCTGTCTCACAGATTTAAATCTGTGCAAAGACTGTGAAACATGGTCACTCAGAGCAGACTTTTTCAGCCACTTTGCAGCCCACAGAGCAGAACAGTGGAAAGCTGGTCCCCAAAGCCAGCACTGCAGCCATTACATGCAGTAAAACTTATATTTACAGTATATTTTTCCATGCTCCTCCTAATCCACTTTTTTTTCCTTCATCCTGGATACAGGAATGGTTTATTTACTTTTCATATCCCTATCCTGTACTAAGAAGGTACAGCACTCTTTAAAATTGAGAGAACACTAAGTCACACTGAAGTGGTTTTGTGAAACACATCCAAGTTCTTGAGTACAATGACGTGGTTTCCTTTTAACATAGATGAGACAGAGTTGAATAGACTCCCTGGAGACTCCACAGTTGTTTTCAGTAGTGACAAGAGCCCATCCCAAACATAACTTCCAATCTGTCAGCCCTTCTTGAATACTAAGAGCCTCTTTCTCTTGAAATGCACTGAAACCAACTCTGTATAACAAAAACACCTCCTGCACTCTAATACCACCTGAATTACTTTCTTAGATGTGTATCCCAGTGCTGTAAATCAAGATGTAGATGTAAATCAAGTCAGAAGGATTGTGTACTGCCTTTTCTCCAACCCTACCAGCATGGGAAGTTCCACTGAGAAATACACACTTGTTCCAGGGGTAGCACATAGCACC